ATGAACGATTGTAATTGAGTTGTAGGTGATGAACGATTGTAATTGAGTTGTAGGTGATGAACGATTGTAATTGAGTTGTAGGTGATGAACGAGTGTAATTGAGTTGTAGGTGATGAACGATTGTAATTGAGTTGTAGGTGATGAACGATTGTAATTGAGTTGTAGGTGATGAACGATTGTAATTGAGTTGTAGGTGATGAACGATTGTAATTGAATTGTAGGTGATGAACGATTGTAATTGAGTTGTAGGTGATGAAAGATTGTAATTGAGTTGTAGGTGATGAACGATTGTAATTGAGGGGCTTTGGATACCAAATGTAATAAGTAATATTTATATGCCTTAACTGTTTTTACTTGATATTTCTGTCAAACTTTTCATGAATCAGTCTTACTCCTCCTATGATAAACAACATTGTCGGTCTGTGTCTGAGGGACATGTTAATTGCAGTGAAGGATGCCCTTAGCTTTTGGAGTTTCGAATTCAACTAGTCGTATTATATCTGGTATATATGTCTTTTTTACTTACGTCTTCTGTCATTGTATTTATAAATCAATAACATCATATTGGGTATTGGAAAATGTTAATTGAACTGTAGTTGATTGTATATATCTAAACAGTTAATATAGTATATAGGTTCCCCTTCTTATTTTGAAATCTACAATGTCAATCACCCTTACAACTAGATTAATTCAAAATTCTAATGAAATTCAGTGTTTTTTAACAAAAAGTTCACAAAAAAGGTTTCTTTATGTCGTTCCTCTACTTATTTTTAAGAGTAAACCTACAATGTCATTCAACTTTGCAACAAACTTGTTCAAAATTCCAAATAATTATTTTTCTAACACAACATTAAAATTATGACTTCTGTGTTGTAATTTCTATTCCCCTGGTTTACTTTTAACACTCCCTACCCTCATATCTACTATCATTGAACCATAATTTATTCAGAACGATTCCAGATAGCACCCTGATAACAAGCCGAGTTGATAAAAAATTATTCCTATCAGTAATTCCATCAATTAACATTCATAGAAAACTGTGGATTATCAGGTACGATATGAGTCCTTTCTCGCGTGATAAATTTATATTCATTGTGTTTGTAGACCTCAAGTTTTTCATATTTTCCTCAGAATCACATAATATGTTTGTTAGCACAGTTACCTCCCTTGAGATGGACAAATTGTAATATTTCAGTAATATCAGTTTGTGGGTTGACTCAAATGACATGATAGCATCTTAACTTTGTTTACTTCTCCCGAGCACACCGTGGTAATGTTGCGTAGGTGGCGCTCACGTGCATCCCACTCACTCCATATCCTGTCGGGAAATTTTGCTGTTTTCATTCATTTTCAAAAATATGTTGTAAGGCCTGCACGTCTTTAAAACCAGGAAATTATTGGAATAACGTATCTGAATGATGTAAGTTTTAGTTTCAGTTTGTTTCATAAACATGATATAAGTCAAATAGTTATCCTGGACGATTGAAATGAACATATTAACCTTGAATTGTCACTCATTTAAATTGAACTGATGTTTACTTGAGACTAATTTAAACCGGAAACGACTTTATAAACCACAAGACATCAGATCTGTATTTTCTAAAGGGAATTTTACTATGTTTTTTTTGTGTTTTGTAAAATAATTAACTTAACCGAGTTTCGCCAAGTTGCAAAAATCGATTCATCAAGTTGCATGTTTTAAGAGCATGGAAAAAATTAGTCCGTGAAAATTATCCATCTAATGTTTTTTGTGTCATGTGATAGTTCCCTAACTCTCTGGAGAAGAGAATGTCGTAAATATTCATGTAACATTAACTCTCTGTAGAAGTTTGCTTTTTTTCTGGACGTGTCAAATAAAGTTAAGTTGTAAGAAGAGACCAGTTGTCGCTTCAGTTTACAGGAAAGACTCGAAATATCCAGTTTCCAATTGAGTTTTTGTTTTGTTAATTCCCAGGCAATAAGAGTTAACACAGAGATGAGAACTGGCAATTCTGTTAGTTTTTACATTTGATTGCTTGTTATTTGAATTTATTCAAAAGGTCACTCGATCAGCAAACACATCAGTTCAATAATGTTTTTGTTTTTTTCCGCTTGCTGAATCATGTATCAATGAGCAATTAACATTAATTTAAATTCTTGTGACAATGGTTTATAAAATTCAAACCTAATCTGCAACTGTTTTGTATTGTTGATATAACTATTATCGTAATCTAGCCAACTGTTTTAATAATACCAACTGACTGTTTAAATTAGTTTAAATTTCAAGGCTTTACGAGTGTTTAATTAATGAAGGACACATCGAAATTGTATACCTGTAGCAAAGCGTTGAGAAACGTTTGAGAGAAATTAGAGAAAATCGTTTCGATGTGGGTTTCTCCTGAACACGCCATGTCATAAATATAAAAGATGAAATAACTCACTTATAATTGATATACTTCCTCGTGTGAAAAGTTCTTTAGCTGCTACAAATATTTTGTCAATATGTTGTAACGTATTTCGGGTTTTGTTTGCGGTTCGGATCTTTAGTACCTGGTTTATTTATATATAGTACCAATAAAACAAAATAAACAATGTGAATTCACTTATATGACTGCCAAGCTGATAATCCCAACCAAAGAGTTATATAGGGAACAAACGCATGACGAAAACTAAACACAGGGCAGATTTGTGTATAAAAGGGTCAATAATCCCATTAAAACTTTCTTTTAAAAAGTTACAGTCTTAAGCCGTGCGTGGTGTAATTTGTGAACAAATAATTCAAATTAAGAAATTACATTATATTAATGTAGGCTTTATATTATCAGAAGTAATATTTAATTTATCATGTAGATTATGACTGTCTTAAAACATGTCTATAAGAGAAAGGTTTTTTGTATTCCTATATTACATTCTCTACTACTGTAGATCTAGATCTGACTGTCTTAAAACTGTACTATGATAGTCTTGTCTATAAGAGAAAGGTTTTTGTAAGTCTAATTTATCCTGTAGATTCTGACCGTCTGAAAACTGCAGTATGATAGCTTACTCTGATAGATTGAAGTTGTTTTAATTGTAATAAAAGGATATCAGAAGATTGGTATGAAAGTATATCGTTGGTTATCAGATCTAGACAAGTGAGAAGATTGAGTGATTGTTCTTTTACCATTTAATTTTATTTTCTCTTTGTTTCTAGGGTTCTAAAGAGTGTTGTTTTCCCTTTTCGTTGTTTTTGTTATTTTTTGATTAAATGAGTTCCTCTGATGTACGTATTTTATCAATTAAATCAATTGAAAATGGAAATTTGTTTACTGTTCAATTTTATTAAAAGAGAATTTTCCTATAATTTGGCGTTTGAAGTTTTTGTTCTTCATATTAAATGATAGTTATAAGTTTGTTGTTTCTAACAATTAGACCAATACATCAGTTATAATTGGTAACCAAAAATCAAAATCGGATGTAACCCGCAAATTACATGAAATTAAACAACAGTGAATCTACATGATAAACAAACGAAAAGACATAATTATATCGAAGTTTTGGGTGTGCGGACTTGGTTTAGGGTCACGCCAGCGCCACCTGTCTCAGTAAGAAAACAATAAACAAATTTGTGATACTAAAACTTTTGTCAATTGATTAGTTTATTGTTACTTTCTGACTTTGTAAAATGGTCGATTTATTTTTCAGGATATTCTAAAGTGAAGAAATCTGTTTAACTAATTTTAAAACAGGTTCTACATATTATTACTCCGTTTTGAATTTTATTCTTTGAATTGAGAAATCTTTATTTCATTGATTTTAAATGTAACATATCATGTGAATGATTAAATGTCTGTCTAAGAAACTATCCGTAGAGACAATGTAAGATGGAGACAAAACAGAATGTTCAATTAGACACTTATTCTTCCACTAACAGACGTTTCTAAGACATCGAGAAGTATCAATGATTAGGTAAGAGTGTCTGAAGAGCCTGTCTGGGGTTTTATTTCAATGACAATAATACATTGTATAACAAAATGATACATTGTATCACAAAATAGTACATCATATAAACTGACGATTACAATGTAAATTGTTGAAACGTTGTGTACGATAAAACTCAGGAGTAGTATACCATATAAACTGATGATTACAATGTAAATTGTTGAAACGTTGTGTACAATAAAACACAGGAGAAGTATACCATATAAACTGATGATGACAATGTAAATTGTTGAAACATTGTGTACAATAAAACTCAGGAGTAGTATACCATATAAACTGATGATGACAATGTAAATTGTTGAACATTGTGTACAATAAAACTCAGGAGTAGTATACCATATAAACTGATGATGACAATGTAAATTGTTGAAACATTGTGTACAATAAAACACAGGAGAAGTATACCATATAAACTGATGATGACAATGTAAATTGTTGAAACATTGTGTACAATAAAACTCAGGAGTAGTATACCATATAAACTGATGATGACAATGTAAATTGTTGAAACATTGTGTACAATAAAACCCAGAAGTAGTATACTATATAAACTGATGATGACAATGTAAATTGTTGATACATTGTGTACAATAAAACTCAGGAATAGTAAAATTGTGTTCTATTATTAAACGTGATCTGTTATTATACCAACTTTACTTTAAGTTGCTCACACTACTGTATTTGTTAGGTGTATTTCTTATAAGCTATCGTTTTGTTCTAATATTGTAAAGCTTATCTATATCAAGATGTATTATTTAACTATCTAATAATTGTATATTTCAGGCTGTATCGAGAATGGGTCTGGAGGGTATCATTGAATGGTTTCGTTATATCCCGGGACAATGGTAACATCGCGAATCTATCTTTATCATCAATATTCAATATATTTCATGTAATGTTCAGTTAAACTTGCTACCAAGATGACAACATTTCAATCATTTACAGACAATGCGTATAATTTGGCCTCGAATTGGTCGAACTCTTCAGACGATGAAGTGGAGGTAAATAAAACCCCACCATATTATCCGGCTGGATATCCGAGTGGTTATACATGGCTTCATATTATCTGCTCCGGGATCGCAGTGACTCTTATTATACTCTTAATAGTCATAGGAAACTTTATGGTCATCTGGGCCATTATCACAGACAGAAATTTAAAAGGACCTCAGAATCTATTTATAGCATCACTCGCCTTCGCGGACATGTTCTTAGGAATATTGGTTATACCGTTTTCACTGGCGAACGAGTTGATGGGATATTGGTATTTTGGAGTAATCTGGTGCGAGCTCTGGAAGGCGGTTGATGTATTGTTATGTACGGCCTCTATTTCAAGTCTCTGTCTGATCAGTTTAGACCGTTATTGGTCTATAACCAGGGCAATGAGTTACTCGCGACAAAGAACTCCGAAAAGAGCAGCACTAATGATTATGATTGTTTGGTGTGTCTCGGCGACTGTTTGTATTCCACCTTTAATTGGGTGGAAGCAGCCAGTCCAACATTCAGTCTGGCCAATGTGTAATCTTAGCGATGATATCGGTTATGTGTTTTATTCCTCGATCGGCTCGTTTTATATCCCAGCTTTCATCATGGTGTTTGTGTATTTTAAGATCTGGCAGGCTGCTAAAGCTCGTGCCAGGAAAACTATGAATCGAAAAGATCCGGGTATTGCGTGTGGCACGGACACAACAGCTGTGTCCAAACCGGCATTAAATAATCAAATTAATAAAGATAACGAAGATACTAAGGACGATATCGATTCTCTGAGTCCAGAATCATCGGACGGCGAGGACGAGGGTGAGATTAACAATAAGAAAAATGTGCCCTCGTGTCCCCAGCCCATACCCATAACAGACATGTCGAAATTACTCTCTACCGACTCAGATTCGTGTGAGCCCGTAACTCGAAACATCCGTGTTATTCATAACAATACGTGCCTCGGTCCGACTACTGTTACGTTACTGACCAGCGACAACGACACGGAATCGTCTACAGAACAAACCAAAGCATTATTAGATCATAGTGCCAGAGACACTACCGATACGGCCGACACAGACGGGGGCAATTCTACTGAAGCTGGAAATGGTAAACTTCACAAGTTTCAAATCGTGGAACCGAAACAAAACGGTAATCCGACTGTGTTAGATAAAGACAAAGTTAAAGTGAAAAGACAAGGTATTCTTCCCGGCATAACTCGACATTTATTTCAGAAGAATCGAAATAAGAAAAAGGTGAACTCCGGAGGCAGTGATTCAAAAACACCGGACTACATGTCGGCAGATAAACACAAACGGAAGTTAGCTAAAGCGCGTGAACGGAGAGCGACGTTGGTGCTAGGGTTAGTTATGGCAGCTTTTATTCTCTGCTGGGGGCCATTCTTTACCATGTATTTAATCTCTTCGTTTTGTAAGGACTGTATTGGCGAAATGGTGTTTACTGTGTTTTTCTGGATTGGATATTGCAACTCCGCCTTAAATCCTCTTATTTATACCGTGTTTAATCGGGATTTTAAAAAAGCTTTCCAGCGAATGATCTGCGGACGAAAACGTTATCGGTAAAACTTCAGTTTTATATATTCGTGTGATACTTCATTTCATTGTTATTCATTTTCTAATGTCTATTTCTTCATTGTGAAGCCTGCTTTTGTAATCTCAAACAACATATAAATATAGAAATATTTCAGTTTCAGACTGTATTCAGACTACTGCAGTTTAAAGTCAACTTTACTCTAACATCATATCTAATATAGTGCATATTAGTCTGCGATTTCAGGTGTTTAACTGTTAGTGGACGTTAACGTTTATTCTATCAGCTAGATAGCACTTTGTTAACCTAGTACGTAATGTACACACACATTGTAAGTTTATGACACAATTACATAAGATATACGTAAATAAGGCACTGGTATCTAAATTCTAAACATTGCAGTCACTTTACTCTGAAATTATTTAAAAAAATATCCATTTATAAATTACAAAATAACATATATATATAAGCAATGGTTTCAGAAACAAGTCGAAGCTTATATTAATCCGTTATGAAGTCATTGAAAAGCTGGCGATTTGTAAGTCATGTTGTTTTCTCCTGATTCCTAATTACTAGATCGATTGAGTTTATTATCCCCTTCCTCTGAATTGAGACACTTCCGGAACAGATGATAGCACCCCTGCAACTCCGTTCATCAACTCCACACCTTTTTCAAATAATCCCCAAAACTGATAATGTGTTTTCACGTGCATAAATTCCTACCCCTATTAAAGTGTCAATATTGCTGAAAATATTTGTTTGGTATTTTATTATTATGAATAATTGGAGTGTAATGGTGATAAACCAACCAGACTGCTGTATATTAGATATGATCATTATAAAGTTTGATTTTCGTTTAATAAAGATGAATATCTGCTAATCCCTATGGTAGTTTCGCTAGTTAAGTACATGTGTGTAGTTTTAAAATGGAACAAACTGTGTTAACAGATCCGTACCCAGTGTTTTGTTTATGAACAAGCTGCTTTGTAGTTTGTTGTAACGTTTCGACCCTGAACGTGCAATTTCAAAGAGGTCAACCGCTTGGTGAGAAAATACGTTCAGTGTTCGCTTTAATAAAACACTTTCAAACAATCGAGTTGCCTTGCTACGGTTAAATATTGATATCACACAACTCGTTCAGTCCAATACAACAGCACGATTCGGAATGATTTTAATCCGTTTTCTGAACTGAGTTAAAATATCTATCAGTATTGACTAATTGAGATGATGTTAATTATAATACCTACACGTGTTATATTATAGAATATAATCATTGCCCTGTTTTACAGTGATCATGTTATTTTGTTTTGATGAGGTTTGTGTTTTTTTGCTGATCTAGTGTTATCATTGTATAAATAAAATTTGAGTCAAATTATATTTTGTTGTGATATATTTTTCGTTTCGTTTTTGTTTCACAAAAATTATTGTCTTAAAAAATTTAATCCAGATTTTGAAATATACGACAATTTGATTGGTCTAATCAAGTCTAGCTATTGACCATTCGGATGTCAAGAGCACTAAAATCACCTTTGAATGCATGATAAAATTGGCCCCAGCGTCACTGCGCACGCTCGACATCATAGCTTCTATCATTATTTTGTAATGTTCAAGGTACTAGTAGTTGGTCAACCAAATCTTTTATACTCAGCCTCTCATCATCGGTGGGTCTAATTCAGTATTGTCAAATCAGCATCTCATTTAGAGAGTCCTCGTTGCTTATCCTGGTATTATATTTATTTGGGTTGGTCCCTCGCTATACAGAGCCAAGAACGTTTCTGCAAGGTAGTATGTCATAAAACGTTACCCCCACCACCTCCACCACCCCCTTTCGAGAACTTTCGTTACGAACTCATTGATTCTTCAACTTCATTTCCTTAACAATCTATAACTCTATTTTAACAAGTAATATTCTGGATATTAAAAAAACAAACTATTTGTTTAAGCGATATTAGTGACAGCCAGTGATATGTTTACATTTTACGCGTTGACCTACTTTCGAAATATACTTTCGTTAGCAGAGTTACTTCCCTTGAAGTGAAATTTGTTCAGTATCATATAGTGTGTTTCGACTACTAAAACATAACGTGTTGTTGTTCTTTACTTACTCCGAAACTACCCCCCCCCCCCCCCATTCCCCATCCAACTACACCCCAACCCACGTCCTGGATCACAAACCAAGGTTTGATTTGTGTCTTTTCAATTTGTATCACATGTTAATTCCTTTGATGCCTTTAATTATAACCCATATTCATTAGCCCAATCAGGTACAGAAAAATAGGACGTAAAACTCCATTTCGTTTCATTCAATATTAAAATATACAGTACATTAGTACAACAAGATACCATAAAGAATAACTGTTAGCTTAATCATCCAAAAAGGTATTGAAACATTAGCTAGAGTTACGGGTCCTGAGAGAAATATATGTTTCCTTCTAGACGGGTCTAATTGACTAAGTGTCGCTTTGGGCAATCTAAATTTCATAGACAAAATTAATGAACTGGTTTAATATTTCATGTATGTGATTATTGTTTTAAAAATAAGTTTGTCTAGAGGTTTAATGAGATCAAAATGATCATTGGATGTGGAACTTCCGAAATGTATCACACTTTCTAGAAATACAGCTCAGACTATACTTTATAGCCGTTAAAAACACACGCCTTTGTCGATAATCTGATGACACTGTAGTCCATTTTAACAAAATGATCTTTAAATGAAGCAGTGAATTTACCCAATCACAACGACCCTTTTATACGGCTGCTCGTTCTCATACGTCCTCGTACTCGTATGGTATTCAATCGTTCATATTTACAAAACACAACGTAGAAATGTCTACGTACAAGCATGTTGATTGACAACGTGAATATTCATTATATGGATGCCGAATACGAGGTTTACCTGCTAGAGGAATACACTATACAAATATATAATGGTTTCGGAAGTGATAAAGCAGTATCTATTGCACTGACTGACTGCTGATAGCCTTAAAGCGAGCCACAGGGACACAAAATATTTGTAAAAAAAAAACAATATAAGACTGTATTATTTGTAATAATGTTTATATTAAAGAAACTCAGCAACGAAATACCAGTCCAGAAGTCTGTTATTACCAAGAACAATACAATCATCTCTTTCCGTTTCGTGGTAATAATGGATACATTACAGATAACGACATGAGACAATGGGCGACTGATTATAATAGTTTAATATCAATAGCCAAGGTTTCAATAATAACCTTTAGTTCAGACAGGCTGACAATATTTATATATACTATAGGATTATTCTGATTCTCGCGATATGCTTCCAGTGTTCAATGAAGGGATAACAAGGTAACAATAATTATGACAGGATTATTCAATGTTAAGTGATGAGGAAGAACTGTTTCTGGTTGATTATTACAGTCTCGATGGAGAATACTGACGAATTATGACAATGTAATTAATTATACGATTATCAATCTGCAGACAATTTGATCTATTTGTTAGCCAGTTACACTGTAACTTACAGTCGGTACGTTTGATATTTTAAAAATACTTTTCTGATTATTTCTAAAGCAACAAAGGCAGATGACTCTCTGCTAACAGGCAAGTTTGTTTCCCCTCTTGATTTAATAGCTTTAGGTTTGTGTCTAAATGTAAAAACTTGGTTAAATTTGACCCCATCTACAACAGAAACTACAATAGCAAAACTAGCCTAGTTTATATGAAGGTATTGATGACGAATGGTGAAACATGATCAACTGTACCTCTATTTCAAACCTCCCTCTTTCTCTTGTAGATAAAATGAAATGAAATCTGTTCAAAAACACCAACACCAACACCAACATCGTCTGTATAACACCTAAACAAGTGTCAAAAATATTTATTGGAAAAGGCGATTAAACAACAGAACAGACCAAGCGGAAGTTCAATTGATTCTAGTTTTCAAGACTGATGGCGGTTATCATTTGAATAATCTAAATATGATTAGGTTCCTATTTAATAAATAATACAACTAGAAATAGAACTCAGATAATAGAACGTCTATCTTTCTACAGAATTCAATAAATTCTCACTCTATTGGTAATATCGAATTATCTTTGGTCTGAGATGTCTTATTCAAGGTTAAAAACAAAACTTCAAAACAAAATATTATACTGTATGGAATTCAACCACGTTGATGATACGGCTGAAGGTTGGTAACAATATTCCAATCGACCAACCGGAAGTAAAATGTTAACCGAAAATGACCATTACTTATATTATGGATATTAAGTTTATACAACAAAACAAAACTATTGTATTTGGTAGAATATTCGATGTCGTCAAGATAAAAGAATCATTATATCTCATGATGTTGACCTATACAGTAGTGGCGGGTGTCACTCGCGAAGCAGAAAATTGTTTAATACTCATTTTCACAAATTTCTTCTAATGAATTATGCTGTTCTAGTTGATATAGAATAAAATTGGTTATTACCACTGACCCAGAGATGAATTCTATAAGATGGCTGAATCTGATGTAGAGCATCATTAATCATCATAAATCATTCCATTTCATTGAACAATCACTCATATTACTCCTGCCTTAATACTGGGATGTTTGAATATATTTAAATTCTTAAGAATGAAGTGTGTGTGTGTGGGGGATAGGGGACAGCTTCTTGAACAGAAGTCTTATGTTTTCACTGGTCGGACTGAAAATGTGCTGGAGCATGGGTGTTCCTCTGTCCTTAAGAGGTACGTTTACAACCACAGCAATATGTCCCTAATTGAGGACATTTTCACTTTTCTTTGGGGACATTTGATGTGTCACTGGCTATGGAAACACATCTATCCAACTCCAATAAACACAACATCTCATAATACTACACTATACAGAATCAATTACAGCATTTTGTACTCCATAGTCCAAACTACCTGAGACTGTGTCTGGTATCCAATACTAATTTCACTTTCGACATTGCTTTCATGCAAAATACGATTTGGAGACACATGCAAACCAAATTGAAAAGCACCGGATAAAGACCATACTCACTAATGATCAGTTAGTGGACAACAAATCATCGAAATAGGATCAGGCAAATTGTCAACAATACTTCTCCCTTAAACACTCAGCATGCCCTGAACCGTCTTCATTATTCAAATCAAGTATCGTAAAACTGGTATTCATTTTACAAAGATAAAAGGAATCCAACAAAGGTAATGAAATAAAAACAATGCAGAAGCTGGATATTAAGTCAACTCGATAAATCAATTTTCTTTCATTAAAAACCTTCATATTAAATCCACATAAACATCGCTGAATAAGCTAAACGTTTCACCAAGTGCAGATTTTATACGATGTAAAGAATATCGGGTAAGTTTATAGCTATTTTACGCTTTATTGACAAATTAACGAGACATTATTGTCAAATAAAACTAAGGGAAACAAAAAGTTGCGTTATAAATCAATGTAGGAGTTATTGTTCTTGAATTAATTATATGGTTTAAAACTTAATTTAATTACCGTTAGTAGTAAATAAGAATTGATTTTCTCTATAGTATTATTGTGTCATGCAATCATTGTTTATTTGGTAGTACAGAATGTGCTAACCTAGTTTCTTGTAGTAAAATGTAACAAACAAAGCAAGGAACGGAAATGAAGTTTTACGTTCTTCTTTTTTACGCCTGATGTGATGAACAAAACGCTATGAGGTGCACATTGCGCATTGGCCTTCTTATTGTCGATTGATGTTTCAATAGTCTGTAGCAAACAGTGTATGAGTTCATTTTCCAAAACGAAACTACAAGGCACCGTTTCCTTGTCAGTCTCTCCAATTAACATCACCGAAAAACCCGGACCTTCAGGTTAGCGGGGTCTTTTTGAGTTGTGTAGCTATACCTCTGTTTTTAGGTAGTGTAGGTATACCTCTGTTTTGGGGTAGTGTAGGTATACCTCTGTTTTTAGGTAGTGTAGGTATACCTCTGTTTTGGGGTAGTGTATGTATACCTCTGTTTTGGGGTAGTGTCTGTATACCTCTGTTTTTGGGGAAGTGTAGGTATACCTCTGTTTTTAGGTAGTGTAGCTATACCTCTGTTTTGGGGTAGTGTAGGTATACCTCTGTTTTTGGGTAGTGTAGGTATACCTCTGTTTTTGGGTAGTGTAGGTATACCTCTGTTTTTGGGGTAGTGTAGGTATACCTCTGTTTTCAGGTAATGTAGGTATACCTCTGTTTTTGGGTAGTGTAGGTATACCTCTGTTTTGGGGTAGTGTCTGTATACCTCTGTTTTTAGGTAGTGTAGGTATACCTCTGTTTTTGGGTAGTGTAGGTATACCTCTGTTTTGGGGTAGTGTAGCTATACCTCTGTATTTGAGTTGTGTAGCTATACCTCTGTTTGTGGGTAGTGTAGGTATACCTCTGTTTTTTGGGTAGTGTAGGTATACCTCTGTTTTTGGGTAGTGTAGGTATACCTCTGTTTTGGGGTAGTGTAGGTATACCTCTGTTTTTGGGTAGTGTAGGTATACCTCTGTTTTTGGGTAGTGTAGCTATACCTCTGTTTTTGGGTTGTGTAGGTATACCTCTGTTTTTGGGTAGTGTAGGTATACCTCTGTTTTGGGGTAGTGTCTGTATACCTCTGTCTTTGTGTAGTGTAGGTATACCTCTGTTTTTGGGTAGTGTAGGTATACCTCTGTTTTTGGGTAGTGTAGGTATACCTCTGTTTGTAGGTAGTGTAGGTTTATCTCTGTTTTTGGGTAGCGTAGATATACCTCAAATGCTATGAATCGTACCTGAATATGCACCAATATCGTTGATTTCATGTGGCGAGTCAGAAGTATAAAACAATGCTTAATGAATTTTCCCAAACATTTTCATAAATTCGGTTTGTAGGTTGAGCAATTGCTCATGATGTGACGTATAAACAGAGGAAGATGAATGGTAATTTTCGGTTCCGAGATTTATCGAGACATAAAGACACGATTTGAGCAACGTTTAGAAGATCGCATATAACAAAACACACACGGGAATATTATGGTTAACATACTTCTTTAAAAACAAAGCAAATAACGTTTCAACAGAATTTACACCTCGTGTCGTCTTGATATGAAAATTGAAAGGGGTTGCAGGTTGAAAGGATATAAAGACGATGTTTAAATATATCAAATACTAACATCCAAAAATATAATACTATATAAAAATATAACTGGTGTCTAGATGGAGTAAAGCAATAAGATTGAACATAAATTATATTATTATTAAATAACAAACCTAGACAAGTTTTATTACACTATACTGATAGCCACTTAACTTTTTATATCATACATATCAAACCGTCATGTCACTAATACAAGGTGAATGTGTATATGAAACAGAATTTTACGTCTCACTTTTCTGCACCGATTGTGCTAATGAAGACGGACAAGGTTTCAAAACAACATGTTTTAGTGAACGCGGGGCTGAGCTCTTACCAGCGTTGATGGGCTTGGGTTTTTTCATACGTCCAGTTTCAATGCAGCTGATAGTTGATATTTGTCAGACTGATGAATTCAAACAACCGAAAATCAAAATCAGTCTTCAGCATTGTTGGGAAAGAATTTTAACGTGTTTTAATGAACTTGTTCAGCTGAATCTGTCATTAGTAGATAAAGTTTAAACTCATGATGTTGATCTTTATAAGTAGAGGCGGGTGTCACGCCCGAAGTAGGCACAGGCTCTATAATGTTTATTTGTTCCTCTCTATCACAGGCTCTATAATGTTCATTTGTTCCTCTCTATCACAGGCTCTATAATGTTCATTTGTTCCTCTCTATCACAGGCTCTATAATGTTCATTTGTTCCTCTCTATCACAGGCTCTATAATGTTCATTTGTTCCTCTCTATCACAGGCTCTATAATGTTCATTTGTTCCTCTCTATCACAGGCTCTATAATGTTTATTTGTTCCTCTCTATGGTTTTAGAATTGTCGTTGATTTATCAGTATTGTAATTACTGGTAAACAAAGTCATCTCGTTATTTCATTTTAGTTCAATTTGCTATTCAAGCAGATAGATTCATTTACGTCTACTTTTCTAGTGATGATCCGACAACCGGTTCAACTAGAAGTTAACGAAACATACCAGCGGAAGTGTGAATTGTAGATGTATTGCTTATTGTTATGAACAAACATGATATGTTTCCATGATCGCATTAGTTTACTCTTTTGCGATTTCCAACAATTGCCTTTATCATTTTAAAGGCTCCACGATAATTTGAAACAGTCAATACTTGTCATTTTTTTCGCAAACTATTATATTAAACTACTATATTAAACTTCTATATTAAACTACTATATTAAAATACTATATTAAACTACTATATTAAACTACTATATTAAACCACTATATTAAACCACTATATTAAACTACTATATTAAACTACTATGTTAAACTACTATATTAAACTACTATATTAAACCACTATATTAAACTACTATATTAAACCACTATATTAAACCACTATATTAAACTACTATATTAAACTACTATATTAAACTACTATATTAAACTACTATATTAAACTACTATATTAAACTACTATATTAAACTACTATATTAAACCACTATATTAAACTACTATATTAAACTACTATATTAAACTACTATATTAATAAAAGATCATTGAACAGAAGAATTGAATAATGTTTTATAAGTTTGAATACTGACCACAGACAGTAATTATAAAAAGACATTAGAATTAATGATATAGAAGATTTGGCAGGGATTTGTAGAATAATATTTCTCGCACGTAGACAAATTTTATTGAACAAAACAAGAGTTGAAATGGTTTTAAAATCGATCTGAAACCAAACTAAGCATGTATTATATAAGCCGATATTTAGATATTTCGATGTTTTTCAGCTACATAAAATTCACCTAAAACTGTCTGTTCCATATTAAAATCTATACAAACAAAACAATTCCTTTAATCCAAAAATCTCGGGCAAGGGTTGGCAAAATTGAGAGCAATAATTGTATAGTAGTTGACTCCTCAAACGAGAAGTACTATCAGTTGTTTCGAGAAAATAAGCATGATCTGCTTTGCGCGCGACACCCGCTGCTACTACAAAGGTCAAATCATGCGATATAATTAGATTAATTCATGTCGATTTTTTTTATTTTCTACAATTGTCATAAAGGCTGTGTCTAAATAGTTTTTACGCTTGTGGATTACTAAAATCAATCGCTCTGGTCAATACATTTTTAGTAGTCTTGGATTACTCATTATCATGTGTTATGTGTTATGTTTTTGGTATTTTTACTCTATCAGATCAAACGGCGGCTGAACTTTCCAGACTGTAATTTTTATTGCCACCCATAAAAAAGATACGTAAAACTCGCCTTGACTTTCGCCATAAAAAAGATACCTCTATATGGGCTCAAGCGCTTCAATGTGAGCCAACGAATCATAATTATAAATATCACAAGATATCAAACTTGCATTTATTTGAATAAACTGTAAAATTCTTTTTATCCCCATTATTGCAGGGGGCTCCCTGTAGCTGATGAAGATGTCGAGCTGATGAAGATGTCGAGCTGATGTCGAGCTGATGTCGAGCTGATGAAGATGTTGAGCTGATGAAGATGTCGAGCTGATGACTTCGATGAAGTAGGTATAAGGGAGATAAACAATATTTCACAATTAAATAAGACTACAATTAATGCCATTGTTGTTTACATTCCATTGACTACATGGACGTCTTCATTTTATTATCACACGGTCATTCTAAGATAATCGGTACCGTTGTGAAGAATTTATTCAAATCCAACGACGTTGCTCAGATAATAGGGTGAATTGTGTACTTTTTAAAAGCAAAATTGTTTCGACAGTTTCCGTTATGCCAGGCCTTTCATGGAAAACCTTTTTTGTCTAATGATCTGAAGATTCTAACTATTAGACAAATAAACCAACTTGAGAAATCACGCCTCACACCTTTCAAAGTATATAAAAATTCCAACCGTGGGTTAACAGTCCTAGACCCGAGTTGAGTAACGGTTGATATGATATAATGACGTGTAAATTGTGTTGAAACGTTATGTACTATTGTTAAAGAATTGTGTTAATAATATATCATTCGCTTGTGGTTTTTATTAGACGGATTATTGACAGAGTTTTGTGTTTTAAGCTGTGTCATATTAGATTAAGATAAAATAGTACGCCACGTTACCAGAATGTTGAACTCTATTCCTAGTTCACGCTTAGTTCATTCTTAATTCAGTCTTATTTAACTCTCAGTTCAGCCTTAGTTCATTCTTAGTTCCCACTTAGTTCACGCTTAGTCCACTCTTAGTTCACTCTTAGTTCACACTTAGTTCACTCTTAGTTCACTCTTGGTCCACTCTTAGTTCACTCTTAGTTCACTCTTAGTTCACTCTTAGTTCACACTTAGTTCACTCTTGGTCCACTCTTAGTTCACACTTAGATCACTCTTAGTTCACACTTAGATCACTCTTAGTTCACACTTAGTTCACTCTTAGTTCACTCTTAGTCCACTCTTAGTTCACTCTTAGTTCACTCTTAGTTCATTCCCAATTCATTTCCAATTCATTTATAGTTCACTCTTAATTTATTCTTAGTTCACTCTTAGTTCATTCTTAGTTCATTCATAGTTCACTCTTAATGTATTTTTAGTTCACTCCTAGTTCATTCTTAGTTCATTCCCAATTCAATTATAGTTCACTCTTAATTTATTCTTAGTTCACTCTTAGTTCATTCTTAGTTCACTCTTAATGTATTCTTAGTTCACTCTTAGTTCACTCTTAGTTTATTCTTAGTTCATTCCCATTTTATTTATAGTTCACTCCTAATTTATTCTTAGTTCACTCTAAGTTCATTCCCAATTCATTCATAGTTCACTCTTAATCTATTCCTAGTTCTCTCTTAGGACAGCTTTGTCTTCACAAAAGTTACTTTTTCTGTTTTTATTTTTTAGTATCCAATATCATACAAGTATCCAATTTTCCTGCTAATGAAACAGAAGATATAATTTCAATGTTTTTCCGGAAGAAAAAAATCACAGGAATGGAGGGTGCTAAATTTAAAATATTATCTTATGATGACCAAAGAAGAGTAGCGTTGATTGAATTTGAGGAGAGAGAAGGTAATTTTAGATAATATTAAATGTGAGGATTAATTATATCTATTGATTTAGTATAAAGACTCATAAAATTCAGTATATTCAGATATTAATAAATCGATTCTAATTTTTGGCCTACAAATTCTTTCTGATAGCTTCTAATGGGCGTATATTACCTTACCTGGTGATTTAGGTTATCTTATATAGTGATACTTGTTGTTGTCGAGATTTTGTGTCCAATGACTCCCATGGTTTAAATTTAAGAAACTCAAAATGATTATGATATGGTTCAACAGATTTTTGAGATCACCAATTTTAACTTATCATTTTACTGAGATTGTTTAATGGAAATGAAAAGTAACAATTTAACAACTGATTTTAATGAATCTTGGTAGGATTAGATTGATTGATCATTCCTCCTGTTTCTGAACTACTGGCATGATGTGTACCATCTTGAATTATTCCCATTTGATACAGTGTTCACTACATTATATTATATTTTTATAAAGTTGTATTCAGACTATTGAGAAAGAAAGAGATAGAATTCCATGGTCAAACAATCACAATTGTACCACATAAACTGACTGTAGCTGACTGTAATAACCCAAGAAAACACCTGAAAGTGACGGGATTGAATTCTAGAACTTCTACAGAAATGATAGAAATGTACTTTGAAAGTAAAAAGAAAAGTGGCGGTGAAGCTGAAAGTGTTAATTTTGTATCTTATGAGACAATTGAAGGTAAGATAAGAGCTGGGGTGAATCTAGGAAATACCTGAGGGGAGGGGCACAAATTATCTCGGATCCCCTTCAGGCTTGGGAGCTGCCAGAGACCCCTAGAATCCAACGGATTTCATATGGTCTGCATCCTTTATCACAATGGCTCAACTACCGTAGGAACTGGTTGAACAAATTCCACGGGCCCCCATCACAACAGACTTTAACCTGACCAACAGAGGGGTCTCAGAATGCTAGAGCATATGCAACATAAAAATTTGAGTTGAGTTGAGTTAAATAAAGATGAGAATTGTTTATATGTTACATATAGATGTAAAGAAGGTAAGTTTAGGTACATTGTTGGTTGAATGCTCACGCAAAATTCATTCTGAGCTGTTATTAAATTATCTACATTGGCTAATATCCCTATCAAAGTTTCACCTCATTCTTTTCTGAACTCTTCCAAAGGGGTCATTCGACACCCAGACCTGAATGGATGTTTTCCTGAGGAAATGAAGGAGGAATTACAGGATATTGGAGTCCCGAACGTTGATAGAATATCCATCCGTCGTGACAGCCAATTAATTCCTACCAACACCTTTATTCTTTTATTTTAAATAACGGAACACAATTTTATTAAACCGACCTAATTTACCATCTGAAATCGAAGTAGGCTACCTTAATATCAAAGTATCGCCGTATATACCAAATCATCTCAGATGTTACAACTGTCAACGCTTCGGGCATGGAACTCGAACTTGTAAGAGTTCGATTCGGTGTGCGCGTTGTGGTCAGTCTGGGCATGACAACACGGATTGCACTGAAGCTCTTTGTTGTTGCAATTGCAATGGAAAGCTTGTTGCCTTTTCCAAAGACTGTCCAAAAGAGGCAAACTGAAAAAAAAATTTAAAATAGAAAATAAATTATAGTATCCCGAAGCGAGGAAGGTTGTAGAAGGTGCAACTCCATCTACTCTTTCTGGAAAGGCTTTTGCTAATGTCGTTAAGGCTTCTACCAAATCGGTGGAATGCCAGTAGTATATGTCTTTTCGGATATGACGCATTTCGCTTCTGCGCATGCGCAGCTTTTTCAATGCGTCATATCCGAAAAGACACAACTGTTAAAATGTATTATAACAGACTATCCAAACTGCTAAAAATGTATTATAACAGACTCCTCAAACTGTTAAAAAAAATGATTTATAACAGATTCCTCCAAACTGTATTATAACAGACTCCATATAAATTACCCAAACCACAGACAAGAATCACTATAATAATACAGTATAAAATAACCGCATTAAAAAAAATAATAATGTCTTTAATTTTAAAACACGAACAAAAAAAATTCGAAGGAGACGGTTTCTTCTCTGCGCTAACATCTCTCATCCCCAAAGTGGCCAACTTTGTCTCAAACAACAAATCCCTCATTTTCTCAGGAGCATATAAGAGAAATGCGAAATAAAAGATTAGAAAACAAAAAAGGCAATGGTTTTAAGATTATTGGATAAAAATGTCAATGATAATTGCACAAAGCCCTAAAACGTATTTCGGTGCGGGAGACATTCAAAAGTCATTGGGTTCTCTTCCTGGATTCCCATGGGCAAAATATCCCGGAGAAAAACATCTCCCAGGGCACAATTATACAGGTACAGGCACGAGATTAGATCTGCGTTTAGACGAAAATGATAATCCCAAACCAGGGGAAGAACCCGTTAATAGAGTTGACGCAGCAGCGCTCAAACACGACATACTGTACAGACACAAAGACATAACATTCAGACACCAAGCAGATACACGAACTTGAAAATATTCCCAATCCCACTTTAAAAGAGAAATTACAGAGGGCTCTTATCATAAAACTCTTGAAGGCAAAATTGAAATTGGGTATGGGCATAGCAGACGAGATTCACAAAGAATTTCGAAAAAACAAACATTACCTCAAAGTCAAAGTTTTTGATAAAGATGAAATTTGGTCAGCCGATTTAATCAACATGCCAGTCGAGGGAGGGTACAAGTATTGTTTGACGGTGATCGACATATACACGAGATACGCTTGGGTCTT